GTTGACATTTTTGTGTATCCACGGTGTTTACTGTGGTCATCTCATCCTTTACATCCAGAATCAGTGACGGCTCCTCTTTAATAAGTTCATTTATGGGTAACGGTTCTATTACCAATGCGGTTCCATCTTTATCCCAGCTATCATGCATATCCTTGAGCATCATTAGAAATGTGCTAAACTTATAGTCTTCATCAGGATGAAATGACAAAGGCTGGCCACTGTGATCATTTGTTAGTGATTTGAAGGTTATTTCTTTCATGTTCTCCACATCTTTCATCTTTAAGCACAAAGATGGAGTAGAACTAGAAGATGAATCAGAAGCATGACTCTCTTGCTTGTATTTGGATGAATAAAAGGCAACAGGTGCTTGAGATATCAAAGAAGCTTCATCTTCAGATTTGACTAAATTTGCATCGTCTTTAAAACTCAGAAGATCCGATGATAGCTGAGTGCGTATGTTACTTTTTGAGTCCTCTTTCAGATCGCAGCTTGCTGTAGTTGACATCTTCTGTGAAGGGATATGGTTGTCTACATCTGTTGTTTCTGGCATTGTAACGTCAGAAGAAGACACACAATTTTCTGTTTCGACCTTTGATGCTGACTCTTGGTTTATCAGTTGTTTCTTCATCCACTCTGCCTCCTCCATCGCCTTCAGTGCTCTTGTCATCAGGCGACTACTTGCTGGAAGGCACTTCACTCTCCTATCGAGAGCTTTCTTGGCTTCAGTAGATAGATGTTCAAGTCCAGTGATGTGTTTGTCTTTGGGTTTCATGCTTATGGAATCTGGCATCTTAATTTTACAAGATACCTTCCCGAAAGAACAGTTCACAGATTTAATTCCAGCACGACTAAGTCCCCCGTTGACCTGACCTTTCCCTGCTTTGCTAAACCAAAGGCCACCCTGGTTCTCCACGTTCTTCTTCACTTCTTTGTCATTTGTAATGGGAAGTTGACTTGAGGTTGAGTTTGATTGATTAACAGCGCAGTGCTTTGAAATTTGCTCAGTGCTTTTGGGACATCTGCGGATCTGTGGTACAGAATCAATGTCAGAGTAGGGACTGTCCAAAGTTTCCATAATCTTATCCTTCTCACAATTAAATTCCTCTGATTTTTTAAAATGTGTTGAAGACTTTCTCTGTTTCTTTTTGTTTTTAGACCCCTGATTATGTGGTAAGGTGTTCATGTGGTCTTTTTGTGCAACTGTTCCATTGGTTAGAGGACTAATGTTGGGTAATTCCACAGGCACAGACACTTTGTTTTCTGTGTTATTTGTAGTTCCTTCAGTGATTGTTTTGGTGAAGTCTGAGCAGAGAGTGGTGATCCTTGGCTTCTCCAGGAGAAGTGCCTCTGCTTCAACCACACTAGCTCTCCAAGAGTTCAGAAACCGCTTGGGTATCTGCAAAGTAACCCAAGAGTAACAATTTCACAAGGGTTTTAAAAAGATGTCACAATATCCATTTAATTGAAAGGACGTTTCAGAAATTACAGAATGTCTGGAGTTTTCGTCTTGTTGGCGTCCATTTCCTCTCACCATTGGGAGATTGTTAAACTGATATCCACCCACAAATATATGAGTAGATCGCTCAGGGACCCACGCCTGCTTTTCAGGTTCCCCAAATGTCTTGAGGAAATACTGCCGATTGGTCCTATCTGGTGGCTCTGAAACACAATCGCATCGTGGCCTAATGGTTAGAGGGTTGGACTCGTACCCCAAAGGTTGTGGGTTCAAGTCTCGTACCGGCAGGGATTGTAGGTGGGGGGAGTGAATGTACAGCACTCTCTCCCACCTCCAATACCATGACAGAGGTTCCCTTGAGCAAGACACCGAACCCCCAACTGCTCCCCGGGCACCGCAGCATAAATGGCTGTCCACTGCTCCATGTGTGTGTTCACTGCTGTGTGTTTGCACTTTGGATGGGTTAAATGCAGAGCACTAATTCCAAGTATGGCTCCCCATACTTGGCCACATGTCACTTTTATGTATTTTGGGGTGGATTATGTGGAAAAAAAAGCCATCGAAAATGTTGTGAATCTGGTTCATGAAGTTAGAAATGTGTGTTCTGTGGTTTTGTCTTCTGTGATTGTATACTTACCTTTAATTCTGTGGTAAACTCCCTCAACTGGGTGAACAGTCACCTGACATGGCCACCATGGTCTACGGTTGAATTTAGCCCATATTACTTCACCCTCCAAATATTTCACTGGTGGTGGAGTCTTTGTTTTCATTTTTTTTGTCTGCTGGTAGACATCATATATGAATGAGAATAATTTACAGCTGAATAGTTTCAGTATCACCTAAAAAAACATTTTTCATAAAATATTCAATATGATCCATTCTCTCCCCAAGCATAAGAACAGTTTCGAAATTGTAATTATTATGAAAATGTAAATTATTATGAAAATTCAGTTTCTAAGATTTTACATGTTCCTCATTTTAAAAGCTAGTGCCACAGTTGACAGTAGTATGAAGAGATATCTAAACAATATTTGTAGTGGTTTGATGTTGGGGATGGTGGGACAGAACCAGAACTTGCCATTATAATCCCAGCAGGCCTGCTCACAAGGGAAGAAAGCCCACAATCACTTGTAGACTTGTCTTCAAATACAGCTTCTTGCCCCAGAAATGAGCGACCCTTTGCAATTTTGCTTTTAGGCTTGACATCCAATTTTGTTGAGCCACACAAGGCTCTTTCCAGTTGAGATCCAGTCTCTGGATCCATAACTTCATCCTCGTCCTCATCTTCAAACAGAATTGACTCAAAGTGCAGTCCATTTGCAAACGGACTGGATGAGTCCAGACTAAAATCAGGACTGGGTGGGGACGTGCAGCTGTCAGTCAAAGCTGCATCCATTTTGAGACAGACGTGTCAACAACTCAGTCTGGCTACCACGCCCCCATCTGAGTTTCTTGTGTATGCACTGTCCCATAAGCCTTGTGGGTCCCTGTCAGGCAGAGGCAGGTCCTAAATCCCAAAGGTTAGATCGTTAAGGCTTCTCTACGGACGTTAAGTGAGTAAGCTTTTGCTCTTAGACTTTAACCCTTAGACAGATGAGACAGGAAGGGCCAGTGTTAAAGCCAAGTGTCTGTCTGCTGGTTGGTGATGTTTTCCATGTACTTTCAAGTGGATCAGGCACCTGTGGACAGGTACAGTTACTAAGAGTATGCACATGTGGGTGAATCATAATGGCATTGATTCCTACCTGAAAAACAAATTTGTGTATACAGATAAACATTCACTTCATCTATGTGTGTAAAAAACAATTAGAGTCATAGAGAGCATAACAATTCTAAAATGAATGCTGATAATAATACACACCACTAGTCAAAGTTTTCACTTGACTGAAAACATCTTTAAAATGAATTTAGATTTAAAGGCTTACAGTATGCTTAAATGCTTGAAATTAGATCAGCAGACAAATTAGTGCGTGCTTATTTGTGAATTCTTTAAAAATTGTAATCAAAATTTTGAATTGGAATAGGAATTGAAAAGGAATAGCAGTAATAGTAAATGAAAGCTGCCAACAAGTGCCCAGCATTGTTGTTTGCAAGTTTATGCCTTTTAACTACACATACAATATATAATTAATTTTATGTTTATATAATTACATATTTTCACTTATTTAATAATTATTAAGCTGAAAATCTTGGGCTATGATCAGGACTTTGTCTTGGCTATTCCAAAACATTACATTTCTTCTGCTTTAACCTTTCAATAGTAGACATACTTATGTGTTTAGAGTGGTGGTCTTGCTGCAGGAACACTTTATCATTCATCTTTAGGGAATGACATTTCTGGTATAAGGCAGAATTTATATTTCCAACAATGATGGCAAGAAGGGCAAAGCTGCCCAAACCATTATACCGCCACCACTGTGCTATATGGGTGGGATGAGGTTCCCATTATTAAAGTGTTTAGTTTTTGCCAACTGTTCATTAAAACCAAAAAGCTCTATTTTGGACACAAAATATTCTTCAATTAGTCTTCTATCTCATCCACATGGCCTTTGTAAAATTTCAGACGGGCAGCAATGTTCTTCTTGGTGCAGCAGCAATGTCCTTCCTGTCTACCTGATGGTGGGCTGACAAACCTTAGCCAATGTCCTGAAGATCTTACCCTGAGGTTCTTTGTGACCTCCTTGAATATCAGTCTATATGTCCAGCTTTTGGAGAGATTTTTGTAATTGTAATGTAAAGAAAGTGCACTTGTATTCTGTGAAGATTTTTGAAACCCCACTCTATAGAAATGTTTTGTAACCCTTTCCAATCACTTCTGACTCATTTTGCTTAACAAACAAGTGGATTACACAACATAAGTAAATGTAAATATTTGTGTATCATTTATTTAATTGGATCTATTTATCTAGTTATATGACTTATACTGAGATTTTTTTTTTTTTTTTACAATGTAGATTAAATTTATGTTGAAATAAAGAAATGTCAACATAAGAACTGTAGCGTGGCTGTACGTTCGGCCGGATTAATAACGTACTGCTTACTATTCCTAGTAGGGGCGGTATGGTAAACGAACATATTCCATAAAACAGGAACGCAGCAATGAAAGCGGGCGCGCATATATGACAGAGCAAACTGACTCACACAATTCACATGAAGAAGTACAACATGACGAGATACAGTAATGACATACATGTAAAACTGGCAGCGCTGGGCTCATTGTCACGCGTGCTAATCTCATGAATATGTATATGATATTATCTGAATGATATATCTCTCTCCCGAACAAACACCAGCACGAGTTCACAGAGTTACGTCGGTCTTCTACTTAATATTTCGTTATTTTAAAACATACCAAATGTGATGCCTAAGGAGACACCGATGGAATCTTACCATTTACATGTTGGCCAGTGTCACTGATATTGAAAACTCTTCGTTTGTGCGCGTCAAATGACCTTTTTTTTCAAATTGTGAAAGTGGATCAAGAAAATCCCAGCCGCAGCTGCAGTAGTAGGCCAGAGAACCTGAGAACACATTCATACTATCATCACTCTACACCTTCAACATAAAAACACATCAAACACATGCATTAGAACACTCACACAGAGAGGAACCTTTCCAGTGCGCGATGTCTGAGTCACAACCTACCTCTTGGGTTACGATACGGACGTTGTACTTTTCATTTTCAATGATTATGGTTTCCTTGCTGTCGACCTGCCCCTGGTT